TTCCAAGGCAGTATCTCTACAGAAGTAGATTGACCAGTATTCCTTCTGAGGAGTGACTGGTGGGTTTGAACTGCCAGCCTTCTGGTTAGCATTCAAATGCCTTAGGCACTAGGAGACCTAGATTTAGACACGGTAAATAACTTGCCTGGATTCATGCTCAGGTCAGGTTCCAAAATCCTCTCTGAATCACCACCCTATACAGACTTGAGGAGTAACTGGATGGTGTAAACATTTAAATGCTGGGCTACTAAACAAAAGGTTGGAGGTTCAAACTCACTCAGAGGCACCTGAGAAGAAAGGCCTGACAATTTGATTTTAAAACATCACAGCCATGAAACCTCTATAGAACCCAGTTCTACTCTGAAACACATGGAGTCACCATGAGTCAGAATTGACTCCATGGCAACTGGTTTAATAACTTGATGATGAGACAGTGGTGTCTCATTGGTAGAATTCTTATCTTTCATGTAGGAGACCCAGGTTCCATTCCCTGACAATGCAACTTGAGTGCAACTACCACCTGTCAGTGGAGGTTTGCTTGTTGCTATGGTACTGAAGAGGTTTCAGAAGAGCTGACAGAATAAGGTAGACTGAAAGACAGGGTAAAAGAGATACCAAAAGAAAGATTAGGAAGAAAGGCCTGGAGATGTACTGAAAATTCAGCCAATGAGAACCCTGTGGATCACAATGGTCCAGACTTGTTCATGAGGTTGCCATGAGTCGCAGCCAATTGAATGGCAGCTAACACAGTAACTGACTTAGTGAAGTGTTTGGATAGTACAAATGGTTAATGTTTCAGCTACAAACCAAAAAGTTGGAGGCACGAGTCTACTCAGAGAACTCTGAAGAAAGGTCTGGTGATCTACTGATAAAAATCAGAGATTGAAAGTTCTATAGAGCACAGTTTTACTCTGACATACATAGGTCACCATGAGTCAGAGCTGACTTGATGGGAGCCTTTTTTTTTTTTTTTTTAACCAACTTGATGCTAGTTCTCTTTTATTATTCCAAATGAGAGTTGAAGTGTCATGGCTACTTTACACATGGAGTGCAATGGTTTTCTTGACACTCTTGTGGTAACTTTGTCAATAACTCTATCAAAATTGGATACTGAAATAGTGTTGTAAAAAATTATATGAAGAGAATATGAAATGGAAATAATCCAGACCCACAAACCACATGTTTTATTCTGTGGTCATTCTAGGATAGAAAGGGATATTATAAGATTTAAAACATTCTTTTAGCTTATGAAATAATTAATTTTAATATTTTTAGTAAAATATGGACATTTAAGAATGTAGAGTTGGTAAAAGTGGTTGCAGGTTAACATTTGGAAAGAAAAAAAGAAACCTCAAATATTTAAAGATTCATTTAAACAAACCAGTGTGTTTGCCAATTACATGTTTTTGGTTTTCATTTACCAATTGATTTTATTTGTACCAATCCACTTATACATGTTAATGAACATGTTTAGAAGGAAACAATAGCATCATTAAAAAAATCTGAGCCATTTCTACCATTAGACATTGATAGAAACCATATGTCAGATAGCATCTGTCTGCATTTGTTTAAGTTATAAAGTGCCTGAAGGCAGAAATGAAAGAAACTAAAACAATATGCTAATATTTCAGATAGTAGGACATATTTACACACATAAAGTAAAATGATTTGGCAACGGTCCAGCTTATTAGGATTTGGACAGTGAAACTGGATATCAGGGTTTCTAAAGCAGAAGTCTTTGGCTTGAGTTGTGTAGGTTGGATTATCTAAATTAACCATATTAATCAGATAATTTTATAAAACACTCAAAATAAGCTCTTATGTCCCTGTAATGAAATGATACCAATATTCCATCAGTTTCAAGTGGATTTCTTCATATTATTTCCAAACTTAAAAAAAAAAATGACATTTGACAAAAAATATGTCATTGTGTCTAAAAGAGGAAATTATATATATA